GGGGTTTAGTGTTTTAGCAATTCAGAAAAACTGTAATTTACATACACATCCTAAAAACTAATCCTGTGTGACTGATATGCTTCAAATCAGGTAATTTTAGGTCAAGTTTTTGACTGTCAGTCAATAATGCCCTCTGTCAATAGGGAATAGAAACATGGCCACTTAAACAGTTCCATTGGTTTTACAGACTAATGGCAGTTTGGTTCTTTGGCTGTGGTAGGCTTAAAATAGCTGAAACAATTCTGTGAATTGATGTGGAACTATAATGTAACAATTCTCAAAATATCAAATTGTGAACATAACTGAATACATGTTCTTTGCATAATCATAATATGCTATTACATTTACTGCATTATGATGTCTCTGTGGTAACTCAAATTCTACTACATAGAGTTATAACTGCACTTAATACTGCACAAATATTTGTGCTTAATTGTCATTAAAATCACAATGTCACAGTGCTCTGTGTGTTTGTTTGTGTGTGTGTGTGTGTGTGTGTGTGTGTGAAAAATGAAAAATAGAATAAATAGTTCCATTCAGACACACATATATTAAATTAAAAGTAGAGGATATCAACACTTTGTGGCATTATCAGAGCTCCAACTTCAGAAATTCAGCTCCAACCCTGATCAAACACACCTGAACCAACTAATTAGGATCTAAAGGAGCACTTGATAATTACAGACAGGTGTGTTTGATCGGGGTTGGAACTGAAATCTGCAAGAAGGTAGATCTCCAGGAACAGGGTTGGGCACCCTTGGTGTAAACAATCAAACTGAAGAAAACATGTAACTTTTCTATTTTTATGTTTCTTAAATATTTTTGTAATTTAAGGTGCTCTTCTTTTTCTAAAGGTACTATGGTTAATAAACATTAAAGAAAATAGAAAGTTGTGTCTGTTAATGTTGTGCAATAATAAGAGAAGCACCCATGGTGATGGTGGTTGTCATCCCTACAATTTATTTATGTTTATACAGTATAAGGTGTGGATTTAATGATGTTCTGCCAATTTGCAGTTGATTCTAGTAATTGGTGCACCTCCTTCTAATGTTAGGCACATGATATAGTGAAGCGGCAATTTCCTTTTACCACACAAGAAATGGGCATAACATAAGAGTCATTTGATCATTTATATTGGCAGTAAATCTATTAATGTTGGTGAAATGCTAATCCAATATGATATAAACCTTATAGTTACTTAGATATACACGGTAAATTGTTTGACGTAAATAAAACAAAGATTAATGAAGTAGTTTACATGAAAATACTATTTAATCTTTCTACTTAAAAATTCACATTTAATTCAATGTGTTCACTTTCAGTTTCATTGTAATTATTTGTGAAATTTACAAGCAATTTCTGAGCAAAAAATTGTTTTACCACCACCATTTTATCCCCCCCAGTGTAGCTCGTGACAAACTAATGCATTTTACCCTATTTATTAATTTAAATAATATGGTGTGCTGAAAATAAAATTTCCATAATTCAGTACACCATTGTGCATCAGAATGCAATGTTTGTAGCTATTTATAGATATTACCAATCATTTACCAACACTCAGATTTGGTCCCCCCACTTGCAAGACCATTTGAGTCGTGTACAATTCATAGTTTAATTTCATAAACAATGTTGTACATTACCATTGCCTATATTATTCTTTAAAATATATACTTTTACGGTTTATTTTTACATACATTTCCAATTAAAATTACTAACATGAACAGGTAACGAATTCTCATAAGGATACACAGAATGGATTATTTAAACATGGGGAGGCACTGTTTCTCTTTCTGAAAGAATGGTCTGCAGTTCAATGTTTCTTTTGAAGACTAAAATGGCATTCAATGCATGAACTCTTGGCAAGCCTTTTAATGATGAAGAATCAAAGCTTTGTGCTCAGACCTTTTCGTTTCATAAGCTACTTTGGGCACAAGAGAATGGAATCACATGCATAATTACTATCGTTACTGTCCTCCATCAGATCTAATAGATTGAAGAGGTTTTAATGGGCTAGTTGGACTGAAGCACTGATCAAACGAAATAACTGAACAATATGAAAGCAAACAAGTAAACACAGCATTCACAGTTACTGCCGTGTGTACAGCCATCAGCCAGAGTCAACACATATAGGTTCTATTTCAATTATTCAGGAGCAGTTAATAACCAATAGCTGTGTAAAAGGTCAGATGAGGTCCCCTATGATAAAATGTACCCTGAAACATCCCATTACTTTCTTCCTAAATTGGATTTTTAAGTAACTCACAATCCCCAGGCACAGATTAAATGAAAACTCACTCTTTTATATTCAAACTATATATTTATACTTAAATCATAGCCTACTCAGTGCTCAAATAACGGATTCAATTTGATATTTGATCAAAGTTCACATTAGTGAAACAGCCTCAACACAGTCCAAATGCTAAGCAACATGACCTTTAAAGGAATGAGTCCAAAATGAGATGAAATGCTGTAGTTTGCTATAGTGCATCACAGACACTTACAGTTCTAGTCTGACTCATAAAATGAGATTATTTTGGACTAATAATTGTATTTATTTATTTATTTTTTGGTTTTCTAGCCTCAAGAATAAAGACATTATTCAACATCTTCAATTGCATTTTTTTTTTGTCTGCGTGTGTGTGTGTGTTGGGTTAAAAAGTTACCCACATCATTTCCTTTACAAAAAAAACTATTTAATAAAGAAGTACAAAAAATAAAGGTGTTACAGAAGTACAATATGAACAATATTTAATATGACAATGATACGTTCCCCAAAATTAATCAATGTTTAAAAAAATCCTATATGTAAACCAGAAAATATCTAGGTAACGCTTTACAATAAGGTTCCATTTGTTAACATTAACAATGAAAAATACTTCTAAAGCATTTATTAATCTTAATGTTAATTTCAACATTTATTCAAATCTAAATGTATATTATTCAATGGACCTGAGCTAAGATGAACAAACAATGAACAGTTGTATTTTTATTAACTAACATTAACTAAGATTAATAAATAGTGTAACAAATGTATTGCTCATTGTTGGTTAATGCATTTACTAATGGATCTGATTGTAAAGTATTACCCATGTCTACATACTGGACAGTCCTGAAACATCAGCTAAGCACAGAATTACAAGCCTAAACAAACACTTAATGAAATGAACATTATTACAAATTAATTACATGTCTCAGTGCAACTTGACAAACAAAATATGTTGCATTTGTTGTTTGATGTTGATCAGTTGTTAGTAATGCAGCGCAAGTCTCTTATCTGAATTATTGGAGCAAAACAACATGAACAAATGATGAACACCGCAGCTACATCACATGGTCCTTGGATGAACGAGTGATGAAAGTAAAGTAAGTGTCATGCAGAAAAAAATGTAATGAAAATGTGCTACCGGCTTTCATTTTTCAGAGAATCAATTTTTTTTTTCACATAAAACCAAATGATACCTGAACTGTGATAAAGCAAAACAGTTTATACAACATAGGCTACAACTCAAGGTGCAGTGACATGTATAAATATTTGTCTAATTTTCGTGGGAGATATATGGAAACCCGTTTCCGCCACTGAATAATAATGAAAAAAAGGTTATTGCGACTTTTTATCTCACAATTCTGACTTTTTTTCCACATAATTGTGAGATATAAACTCGCAATTGCGAGTTATAAAGTCAGAATTGCGAGATATAAACTCACAATTCTGACTTTTTTTCTCAGCACTGATATGTTCTCAGAATTGCAAGTTTATATCTCCCAATTCTGACTTTATAACTCGCAATTGAATGATACGTTCCCCAAAATTAATCAATGTTTAAAAAAATCCTATATGTAAACCAGAAAATATCTAGGTAACGCTTTACAATAAGGTTCCATTTGTTAACATTAACAATGAAAAATACTTCTAAAGCATTTATTAATCTTAATGTTAATTTCAACATTTATTCAAATCTAAATGTATATTATTCAATGGACCTGAGCTAAGATGAACAAACAATGAACAGTTGTATTTTTATTAACTAACATTAACTAAGATTAATAAATAGTGTAACAAATGTATTGCTCATTGTTGGTTAATGCATTTACTAATGGATCTGATTGTAAAGTATTACCCATGTCTACATACTGGACAGTCCTGAAACATCAGCTAAGCACAGAATTACAAGCCTAAACAAACACTTAATGAAATGAACATTATTACAAATTAATTACATGTCTCAGTGCAACTTGACAAACAAAATATGTTGCATTTGTTGTTTGATGTTGATCAGTTGTTAGTAATGCAGCGCAAGTCTCTTATCTGAATTATTGGAGCAAAACAACATGAACAAATGATGAACACCGCAGCTACATCACATGGTCCTTGGATGAACGAGTGATGAAAGTAAAGTAAGTGTCATGCAGAAAAAAATGTAATGAAAATGTGCTACCGGCTTTCATTTTTCAGAGAATCAATTTTTTTTTTCACATAAAACCAAATGATACCTGAACTGTGATAAAGCAAAACAGTTTATACAACATAGGCTACAACTCAAGGTGCAGTGACATGTATAAATATTTGTCTAATTTTCGTGGGAGATATATGGAAACCCGTTTCCGCCACTGAATAATAATGAAAAAAAGGTTATTGCGACTTTTTATCTCACAATTCTGACTTTTTTTTCCACATAATTGTGAGATATAAACTCGCAATTGCGAGTTATAAAGTCAGAATTGCGAGATATAAACTCACAATTCTGACTTTTTTTCTCAGCACTGATATGTTCTCAGAATTGCAAGTTTATATCTCCCAATTCTGACTTTATAACTCGCAATTGTGAGTTTATATCACGCAATTCTGAGAAAAAAAGTCAGAATTGTGAGTTTATATCTCGCAATTCTGACTTTATAACTCGCAATTGTGAGTTTATATCACGCAATTCTGAGAAAAAAAGTCAGAATTGTGAGATAAAAAGTAGCAATTACCTTTTTTTATTTTTTATTCAGTGGCGGAAATGGGCTTCCATAGAGATATGCAATCATTTAAATGGGAATCTGCACAATCTGGAGTTTTGCATGAAGGCGAACCTGTTCCCTAAATGGATTTCACTCGTTTTCAAGTTGGTACACTGAAGTTGCCGTGATGACCAACAGAAATATAACCAAGAGAAAGCTTGGTTTGAAAGTGATTTTTATGTTAGCTGTGCTTCATATCTATAGTATAGACATAAAAAACTGACCTTTTTTGTCTGTGAAATTTCAATGACATATTGCTAATTGCTCTGTGTGAATTGAGCTTCATACATCATTACACTATTAACAATAGACCTTTTTTGTCCCCGAAACTTTGCAGAAATGTCGCAGATGTGACCACATCTTAAGACTGAATGCACAGTTAGTGGTCATCATGTATTATAAAAAGGCAAAAACAACCATACTAAACATTTACTTAGTGTAATATTTCATGTACCTGACAAACATCTTGAGTTTTTTTTTTTTAACTGATGTCTCTAACGGTTTTATCTCACATTATACACTAGAGGAATACAATGACTGCATTATAAAGCAATCCTTTATATTTTACGAAAGCAGACATTAAGCTATTCTATGCTGTATACATTTTGAAAAGTGGTACACTGAACTATTATTATGTGTATGTTTATTAATCCAAAGGGTAATACAGACATAAAAATAAGGTACTATAAATAGTGTGTATAGAATTCAAGTACCAGCCAACACTAGACTGATTGAGGAGCTTAGCGCTCATTACCTTTAGCACCGGTTTACTTCATTACTGGTTTTACATCTGATCTGCCATCAGTTTCAATAAATAGAAACATCCGCAACCTTGCAATTATGAGGAATTGCGCTCTAGCTTTGTGGTTATCTGTGGTTCAAATACTCGAACTGTTGAACTGCAATCCTAAATTCCTGACAAGAGTTAAAAAGATATGATTCAAATAGCCAAATTATGAATATATTTGTTCTGTCAATTGCTAATCAGAAAAGAACGTTTAATTACTATAGTAGTCAATGCAGTGATGACGTATTTTTGTAGGTCAACCTGGAAATTAGCATCACCCTTGACAAAAAAGCAGTTGTATTTTTCATCTGCTTTTATATTATTGCAGGAAATAAGCTCTGTGACCAATAAATGTTTGATTCTTACATGTTTTGTTCTCTCTTTGTCAGAAGTAAAAGTTATGTAGGCAATAAAAAAACTACTTCGCCGTCGCATGACTTCAGAATCACCACTGAGCTTCTGACAACTCTTTAAAAAAATCCCTGAAAGTAGAACAGTTTGCAAGAGCGCAATTATAAACATGACAAGGTTTTGAAAGCGGGTTAGTGAGTAGATGAGTTTTTTTTTTTTTTTGGTTCGGTGTGATGACATTTAATGCAGTCCCATTTAGCCTCTTCTTAGCAACCAACCTTTTCAAGACAAGTAGAAGTAAAACCACAAGTGAGTTTTACTGATGTATTTATGCCATTAAATAAAAGATGAAAATATCATGTGCTTGTGTGAACCACAGACCTTATTTCAGGCATTTACCAAAAAAACATTCAATAAACCCATTGACTTCAGGACAATAGAACCGGAAGAGCTAAAATGCTAACTCTACATGCTAAAAATACACCATCCCTGCATCAGTCTATAGTGAGATGGCAAGATGGTCCACTTAACTGTTTTACTACCACTTATCTGAGATGATAGGTGGAAATAAGCACCTCTTACTGTATGTGTTAAAGGATGTAGGGACAAAGTAGCTCCCTGATAAACTGTTGGTCAGTGGCAACAGCTTGACCAGACCAGACCAGTCTGTCCAACAATGGATAGCTGCTTTGAGTATTTGTGTAATCTTTTGTTCCATGGCTTACAACATTCATTCTGCAATCGCCCTGCATCTCAGCGACTTGCAATGCGATCATTGCCCCGTGATGGCAGCCCGCAGGTCTTGCAGCACTTTGCACGGACTGAAGGCACTTGACATCGCCCGAGCCACTGGAGGGTCTGACAGAAGCGTAATGTCAAATGGTCCCGTAAACACAACTGACCTGAAAGACACAGACAGAGAACAAACATGAGAGACTGCAGTTAGGACAGCTCTAGAGGGGTGAGACTGCTTCACCACCTGCGCGAGATACATGCACTAGTGCATTCACACATTTGCCCTCAAGCCAGGCAACACATTACAGCAACACAGACACCTCAGCGATAACAAATCACACTCATCACTGATCCTGTGAATGCCTGAAATAAAATCAAGTTGACTACATATATAGCATAAAACATGAAAAGTATAATGGCTGCACAACAAAACATAATTAAAGTGCTCCTATTATGCCATTTTTAAGGTTGCTAATATTGTTTTATGGGTCTCCTAAAACAGGTTTACATGCATGCAAGATCAAAAAACATGTTAGTTTTCTCAAAAAATAGATTTAATTTTACCTCATTTCTAAATGATTCGTAAACGACCCGTGCGTAGCAGTTCAAAGAATCGGTCTCTCTAAACCCCTCCTTTCCGTGAGCCCTCACTGCTGTGATTGGTCAGATGGTGCAGTCTTTTGTGATTGGTCCAGAGCCGCAGAGAGATTGGCTCTGGATTGGTCTACCGCGTATAGCGCGTGTCGGAAACGAAACACCCATTGCCATGACGGAATGACAGCCCTGGAGACTTGTCAATACATAGAAAAGATGGTATTGATTGCACCTTACCAATTCGAGCCGGAGTCTGATGATGAAACGGTTGAA